CTGCACACCTGCAAAATGACATGCACAAGCTTATTCATTGCAAAAAATATAAATTGAAACTGCATTTAATAGAATTATGCTATATCTATATTATATATGTGTGTTTGTATAAGTGTATTTTAAAATCCCTAGGTACCTTTAAAGGAAAGTTGAATTCTTATCCAATGCTTATGAAGAAAAGTACCTGTGATATGGTATTTAAAGTCAATCTCCTGTATAAAATTATATGAGCTGGGGAGAATTTCTAGATCACGTAGCACAGTGGGATTCCTGAATCTGGTTAGACTCTTTCGAATGGACCAGTGATTATAGCCACGCTGACCTCATTATTTGGCCTTCATATATCTCATCAGCATTCTAAGGCAGAGAATGACAGAGTGGCGGGAATAAGAAGGAACAAAAGATAGTGCATATTGCCATCATTACTATCAAGCTAGTCTGTCCTAAATGGCTATAAAAATGGAAAGAAAGTCCCTTTTCAAGGGATCATTGTCATTTATTATCCTGGACACTAGAGGAAAGCAAAGCCTCCCAAGATAGAAGAAAGAAATTTCTGAATCTCTAGGGTGCTGACGCTCACTCTGTAATTGTGGCAGGTGCACTTTGGTATGGCTGTTCACACACTCATCATGGAGACCTTGGGGATATCGCTCTTCAATTAATTAAATGCCCCACACAATTCACAGCTATGATGGGAAGCAGTGATGCTTCAAACTCTAATATTCCAGTGATGGGAAAAAGCTCCATTTTCCCAAAGTACTAGGCAGAGTCATATATAATGGAGACTGCTAACCTTTGAACATGTATCTGTCATAGTGGCAAATAGTGAAATAGAACTACATACACATGTCTTCAAACAGAGTGCATAATGGTGACAGTGTTGACAGCCATTTTAACTATACTAAAATCTTTTTATCAGATTCACTGCTACCTACGTTGAAAATAGGAATGATAAATTCAGAGGTTACTAAAAGAGGACAGATAGATATATAATACAATTAATTTCATTCAGTCTTTTTTCTTCCACAACTCTGTAATAACTGATGATTCAGTAAATAGTTGTTTTTTAATTTTGTTTTTTATTTAGAACAACCCCATGTTTACTTGCTACCACTACAGTTTAAATTTGCAAGAGCTGAAACATAACAGGACAAGTGCATGATTTGGAGTAAGAAGATGAAGTATTAAATTTCACATTGGTCACCTGGGATGGATGTGGCCTTGAGCAGATAGCTTAATCTCTCTGAACCTCAGTTTTCTCATCCTAAAAATGTGAAGTCCTCTCTCACAGGGTTTTGAGAAACTTAATTTAGAAGACGTAGGTGAAACATGTCTGCTGTGTTTCTCAAACTCCAACATATGTAGGAATCCCCTGGGGATATTGCTGAAATGCAAATTCTGATTCAGAAGGTCTGCAGTGGGTTCTGAAGCTTCAGGTGATGTCAGTGCTACTCTTCCGTTATCGCTGGTGTCAGCCGGGAGCTGGTTAGAAATGTAAAATCTCATGGCCTGCTCAATATCTGCATTGTAATAGAGTCTTCAGGTCATTTTTATGAACATTAATGTTTGAGCGACCTTGATCCAGCATCAGACCTGGCACATTTCAGATTCTTGATCTAAATATATTATAAATTTTGATCATCACAGAAGTGTGCAGAATGTAGATGGATATGACACATTTTTCCTACTCAAAATTTGATTTTGAATTATATTGCCCAGATGGTGAGCTAAAGAGTGACCTCACCCCAGGTCAGGTTTCTGCTCTCTGACAGCCGATCAATTAGCAGCTGTTTCAGTATGCATCTGCATTGTCAAAAGCCCTTGTCATCATTTTCGTCACCAAATCTCATCTTTTAAGTATTTTATATAGAAACTACATTTACTAACTGAAATTTAAGTTATTCCCTGTATTTATTTATCAGAGACTATGCTTAGGAGCTTCTGTCAACATGGTACAAAACCAGTTAACACACCAAATTAATGTAGTTCAAGCCAAAGTAAAGATGATTAGTGGTTTGCATTAGTCTATACAGCTTTATTGTAGGTGCATTAATAAAATCTATACTTAAGTTAGGAAACTAGTTTAGAAGCCTCATTAATGGTGGCAGCCAGTTTTAAGGGGTGGGAATCCAGCTTGTATGTCAGTTAGGAAAATGTGAAAATATATTTTGAGATTTCAGCTAATATGCCATAAACCCTGATAAATCTATTGATTTTTAAATAAATTACTGCTTTAAATAGTAAATCAACTCTTCTATCCACTATTGTCTGAGTTATTTTTACTCTATGAAACCTATAAAGTATTGATTTCTAATTCATACTTTACAGTGCATAGTGAAAATATGAGGATCAAATGGGAACTGCGGTATTTCCCTCTGGAAGGAGAATTTTTTTCATTCTTGAAGGTCTTCTTTTCATTTACAACACCCTGAAGCTTTGGTATTTCTCATAGAGCAGGTTTGCTAGTGACAAATTCTCTCAGCTTTTATTTATCTAGGAGTGTCTTTATTTCTCCTCCATTTTGGAAGCACAGGTTTGCTGGATATAAAACTCTTGCTTGACAGTCTTTCTTTTCGCATTTAGAGTATTTCATCTCATTACCTTCTAGCAATAACAAATGATGAGAAATCAGCTGTATATCTTATTGAGGATCCTTTGTACATGAGGCTTCTCTCTTGCTACTTTCAGTGTTCTTTGTCTTTGGTTTAAGAGTTTGACTGTGACAGGTCTAGGTGTGAATCCTTTTGCATTTACCTTGCTTGGAATTTCCTGAGCTTCTTGGATGTATAGATCCATGCTTTCCATCAAACTGAAATATTTCTAGCGACTATTTCTTTTAATATTCTTTTTGTTCATTTCTCTTTCTACTCTCTTTCTGGGGCTACCATTATGCATATACTGGTATGTTTGATGGTGTTCTACAGGTCTCTGAGCTCTGTTTATTTTTCTTCATTCCTTTTCCTTTCTGTTCCTCAGACTAGATAACCTCAGTTGACTATCTTCAGACATGCTGATTCTTTCTTCTGCCTGCTCAAATCTAATGCTGATCCCCTCTGCTGACTTTCTTTTCATTTAAGTTATTGTATCTTTCAACTCCAGAGTATCTATGGTTCTTTTCTATATTTTCTGTCTTTATATTAATAGTCTCTATTTGATGAGACATTGTTCTCACTTTCCTTTGGTTTCTTTAGACATGATTTCCTTAATTTATTAGAACACATTTAAAATAGCTGATTTAGAGTCTTTGTCTAGGGAGTACCATGTCTGGGCTTCCTTAGAGTCTGTTTTCTTCCTGTATATGGGACATACTTTCTTAATTTTTTGCATGTCTCATAATTTTTTGTTGAAAACCAGACATTTTTAACAATATAATAATGTGAGAACTCTGGATATTGGATTCTCTCCCTCCCCAGGATTTGTTGTTTGTTGGCTTTGTGACTTTTCTGGAGTAATTTTATAAACTCTATGTTCTTTGCCATATTTGGCCAGTGAAGTCTCTGCTTGGTTTGCTTAGTTGTTACCTGACGACTAGACAAAGATTTTCTTAAATGCCTAGAGCCAATAAGTCTCCTATTCTTTGCCAACGTGCTCTGTGTGCATGTTGTGGAAAACCTTTGACAGTTAGCCAGGCTGTTTACAACTCTGCCTTGGCCTTCAGTTTCTGCTTGTGCAGAGCCTCAAGTTGAGCCAGAGGTGAGAGACTAGAGCCTTCTCAGTTCTTTCCTGAGCATGTGTATTACCCTGGCTGCGCACACAACCCGAAGCATGCGTGTAATATTCTAGATTCCCAAGAATATATTGGAGCTTTTCAAACCCTTCTGTGGAAATCTTGTTCCTCAGATTTTTCCTTTAAGCTTTTTGGTTAGCCTATTGTTTGTCCCACCTGTTATCTTCTGCTTTAGGCAGCTATGATGTTAAATAAACGAGCCCCTCATTACTTTTGACCAATGCCCCTGAGAAAAATGCTGTTCACAATGGTCGAATTCCTAGTCAGATCAAGTAAAGACATGATCATGAGAGGGGTCATCGAGAGAACCACCAAACAGGTCAAACAATGACAATACTCTGGGAATGGAGCTTTGAAGGAGTTTCAGTCCTGTTTTGCTCATTCCACAGGCTGCCATACTGCTGGTTCCCACTGTACTTGTGGGCTGTTGGTTTTCAAGGCTACTGCAAAGCTAGGGAGAGGAGATGGGAACAGGGAAAGTTAAAACACCCAGAGCTTGCTATTCTGACTGAGATTCAACCGTTTTTCTTGAATAAATGTTCTCCAAATTGCAACAAGCCTTTAATTAATTTCGAGACTTCTGAAAATGTTGATTCAGAACATTTTTTTCTGTTGCTTTTATGGAGGAGAGGATTTTTAGAGGCTTTTATTATACCATTCTGTTTGAGGTCAGTTAAAATGCCCTAAAGCTTTTGTATAGTGAACAAAAGTCATACGGAAACTCATTGTTTTGCTACATTAGAAAGACAGACCATATACCCACTAGAGATTGTATAGGGTTCCACTTAGAGATGCCACTAAAATGTCTTGATTATTTGCGGCTATTGTCAGATGAGAGGTCGCAGTGACCTCTTCCTAAGGAAGATTCTCGTGCTTCAGTATCAAATTTGCAAGAAATGTTGTGATTAAGAGCCCAGTATTTGGAACTAGCCTTCAAGTCCTGAGTTTGCTCCTTAATAGCTTTGTGACTGTGGTCAAGTTATGTAACATTTACAATACAGTGATAATAACTACCTATTCTTAGATTTGTTTTAAAACCCAACTAAACTAACAAAAGTAAAATGCTTGGTATGGTTCATGGCACAGAGTAAATGCTCAATAAATTTCAGCTTCTATTACTATTATCATCACTAAAAATATAGTTCAGCACTGCTAATAATATGCTGAATGTTCACCTGAATGTGGTTCTTTAAAAGTAACTTTCAAAATGGGAAATAAATCAAAACTGTTTTACTGTTTCACTCATACTACTCTGTTTTCTGTGCATTTCCAGGCACAGTGGTGGTCCAGCAGTTGATGTCAATGATGATTAGCAAACATGATCGCCTCTTCCCCAAAGATGCAGAACTGCAAACCAAGCCCCAAGACGGAGTGAGCAACAACAACAATGAAATTCAGAAGAAAGCCACCATGGGTCAGCTACAAAACAAGGAGAACAATAATACCAAGGACAGTCCTGGTAGGCGGTGCTCTTGGGACAAGTCCGAGTCTCCCCAGAGAAGCAGCATGGATAATGGATCCCCTACAGCTCTACCAGGCAGCAAAACCAACAGCCCAAGAAACAGTGTTCACAAACTGGATGTCTCTAGGAGCCCTCCTCTCATGGTCAAGAAGAATCCCGCCTTCAATAAGGGCAGTGGAATAGTCACCAATGGGTCCTTCAGCAGCAGCAATGCAGAGGGTCTTGAGAAAACCCAAACCACTCCCAATGGGAGCTTACAGGCCAGAAGGACCTCTTCACTGAAGAGTTCTGGTACCAAAATGGGCACCCACAGCGTGCAGAATGGAACGGTGCGAATGGGCATTTTGAGCACCGACACACTTGGGAACCCCATGAACGGTCGCAGCATGAGCTGGCTGCCCAATGGCTATGTGACCCTGAGGGACAACAAGCAGAAAGAGCAAGCAGGAGAGTCAGGCCAGCACAACAGGCTCTCCACCTATGATAATGTCCATCAACAGTTCTCCATGATGAACTTTGATGACAAACAGAGTGTCGACAGCGCCACCTGGTCCACTTCCTCCTGTGAAATCTCTCTCCCTGAGAACTCCAACTCCTGTCGCTCCTCCACCACCACCTGCCCAGAACAAGACTTTTATGGTGGGAATTTTGAGGACCCTGTTTTGGATGGGCCCCCACAAGATGACCTTTCCCACCCTGGGGACTATGAAAACAAAAGTGACCGGAGAAGTGTGGGCGGTCGAAGTAGTCGTGCCACCAGCAGCAGCGACAACAGTGAGACATTTGTGGGCAACAACAGCAGCAACCACAGTGCACTGCACAGTTTAGTTTCCAGCCTGAAACAGGAAATGACCAAACAGAAGATAGAGTATGAGTCCAGGATAAAGAGGTGAGGAAAATCTGGACCTTGTAACTGCCAGAGAGGGTGCAACAGGCCCCTACTGTGGGGCAGGCTCACACAGAGGGTTTAATATACTGCTCCAGAGTCAGAGACCCAAGTTCAAGTCTTAGCTTCACCATTTGTAAGCTGTGGGACTTTGGGAGAGTTCACTTCATCTCTGTGAGCCTCGGTTTCTTAATGTGAAAAACTTAAATACTAGTAGCATTTATCTGAGAAGCATGTAAGAAATTGAACATGTTCATTGAACATTGTGCCTGGCACAGAATAAGTGCTCAATAATGCTCTCTCATTATGATTAAATATATAGGTTTGTTTTAGAGGGCTGTGAGGGAAGGGGAGAATAAGGAGCCCGTTTTCATTGACAAGAGGAAGATGAAATGAGGGTAAAGAAAAGTTGTAGATATAAACACACCTTTATTTTTCATTCTTTCAATCGTTGAATGCTGAGAGAGTGTCTGCTTCTGCCAGGCTCAGTTCCTGACGATTCAGCAGTGAATAAAAGAGACGAAAACTCAGCCCCTGTGGAACGTGCTTCTAGTCTACTGGAGGAGACAGACGAATAAGAAAATAGATCCTATGCTCAGTAGAAGACTAAAGCAGGGAGGCGGGGAGAGAAGGGTTAGTGAGGTGTAATTTTAAATCTAGGGCCTTCTAGGAGGTTGAAGAGGAAACTGTGCAGAAACCTGGGAGAAGAGCAAGCGGGAATGCCAGGATGTGGGACGGGCACGGAGCTCAGAGAGGGCAACTGGGCCTGGTGACATAGGGCCTCAGGGATCATTTTAAGCCTTTTGCTTTTACTCTGAGTTTGGACTCCGTGGAGGTTTTTGAGAAAAGCGATTACGTGAAGTGTATTCATATGGACAAGGGAAATTGTAGCCCAAATGGGGAGCCAAAAATATGATTTATTTTAGCAGCTATGCTAAAACCTAATTTTTCTCTGTTTACATCTTCCCATAAGATGACCAAGGAAGAAGGTTGCTTAGCAACTTCTCCAGGGGAGCAACCAGGCAAGATAAGGGGGTGTCCTGTGTTCACAGGGCCCCTAGCTGTCAAACACTCCATGAACTCGAGAGGCGGGAGTACAGAGAATGGAGCCCAGGACTCACAAATATAGCCTTGTGCTGGAAACTTGAAAGTCACCACACCCCACGTTTTCACCACGGTCATGGAAATTACAAAGCTGCTTGTTTTTCTGTCCTCCTTGCAGTGCAGTGCAGGGGAGAGAACATTAGGCTCAAGTCAGGAAAAGGCCTGAGTGTCAGTTCAGCATAAAGCAGCCCCTTTAGTGGTCTGAGTTCCAGTTTCAGGCTGTGTGTCTTGGTGGACCTTTTCCTGCACAGGTGTTCTAGAATCCTCATAGCTCATGAATAACTATCTTTGTCTTGCTTCAGCTGCTTTCATGGCTCCAAACCCCAAATTCTTTCTTTGTTTACATATATAGTGGACTTTAATTTATTTTAATATATTTTCCATCCATTTGTCAATTATCAGACTGGAAGATACATATTTTCAAGAGCCATGGTAAATATAAACAAAAATACGTTAGATTGAAACATTACTTTTTTAGAAAGTAGCTTTTGTAAACTTCACTGAATGGAAACTTGCTTTGAAGTTTTCTATGTAATGGCAAGTGACAGAAGGTTTAAATAAGAAGAAAAATGGTGTTATCATCTTATAAGGTTGTGCTTCCTTCTGAATGCGGTTTTTGGAACCACTGGCTACCAGAACTCTGAACTGCTGCCAATGCCTGATGGTAAATTAGGACTTAGCGCTGTGAAGCAAGAGATAGCACTTTAAACTCGTGTTAGGTTGGGAAAGAAGTTATCATTCTGAATGATACTGATGTGCAGATGTACACATTCATTTATGAGAACATTGATGATGCAGTTATGTTCTGAGTCTATGGTGCATTTGGGAGACTTTGATAAAATCATAGATCTTTCCGACAGAATGTCATCTCAATGAGTCTTTTCACTGTAGCATTCCTACCCACCTGAGAGGCAAAGGGAGAGGTCCACAACAAAGCAGGGCAGAGGAGCTGCCACGTGCCCAAGCCACAGAAATGTAAGAGGTGACTGTTCTAGTTAGTTTTAGATCATTCCTATTTACAGTTACACATTTCTCTTTCAATTCCTTCTTAACTCCATCCCACAACTATTGAGATTGGATACATACACACATACATACCTGGATAACTAGATAGACAGATAGATGATAGATAAATACATAGATATTTTACTTTATCAGTCATTGATGTATATGTCTTTTAGTTTTTTAACGTGTGAGTTTGGTGTCCTCCTACCCTCCAAATTATTTTCTGAACTTATTGTATTGTGGTCAGAGAAATTTATTTGCATGATATCAATTATTTGGTCTGATAAAAACTAATTATTCTCTTATTAGTGGTTTGGAGTTCTATATATGACAAATACATCAAGTCTGTTAATCAAGCTATTCGAGTCTTTTACATTACTTCTAATTTTTTTCACATACATCTATAGTTTCTGAGAATGATATCTTAAAATCTCCTAATTTTTGTGGATTTATCAATTTCTCCTTATAATTGCTATACTTTATATTTAATAATTTGAGGCTACTACTAGGTGACTAAAAGTTCAGAATTTTTTATATCTCCCTGATGAACTAGTCCTTGTATCGTTAAGTAAAGATCATCTTTAATCGTAATGCTTTTTGCCAAAAGTTTATTTTTTCTGATATTAATACTGCTATATTTTTATGGCAGATATATTTTATTTTGATTAGTAACTTCCTACCATGTCTTTTCCATTCTTTAATGTTCAAACTTTGTTTTAGTGTTTGATCTGAGGATTTACATATTTTTCAATTTGAGAATATTCATATCCATCATATTTTTGTTTATTTCATCTCCATTTTCTGAATTTTCCCTTTCTACGACCCTTATTAAAGTATGTTGGACCTTATTAATCCATTCTTTATCTCTCTTTCTTATGTTAGGTTTCTATCTGTTTCATTCTGTGAGGCATTCTGGGTAATTCTTCTCAGAACTGTTTTCCAGTTTACTAATTTTCTCTTCTGCTGATTCAATTCTGTCACTTCTCCCAGCCCACTAGTAGAGTTTTTGTAGTCCCTTTTTCATAAAGACAGTTGATGTTCCCAGCTGTCAGTTGAATCACTTTGGCTCTCTGCCTCTCTTATACTGGAGGCCTCATCCCCCAATGTGAAAAATAAAAACCCAGTCTCTAGGTCCTCCATCCAGGACCAATACTCTACGTGTGCTTCCACTTGCTGTTTTAAATTTGAGTTTCTTCCTCAGGTCTGATACCTCAATATGCTCTCTTATTTCTCGGCAATGTATTTTAAAAATATTTTTCTTATATATTTTTCCAGCATCATTCTGTGTTTGCAGTGGGAGGGCTTCCTTCTGTATTTAACTCAGTCCATTAGATTCCTGGAAGTTTCATACAAGTGCCTGATACATACAAATGTATCAAGCTATATTTTTAAAGGATTGTTTTCCATCATATTTAAGCTTGAATTCCTTTCAACATTTTCAGTTCTAAAATAAATAGCTTTAGAAAGCAAAGAGAATATGTTGTAGAATAATTCTGGGTGGCAACCAGCACACTCTCAGGTTGTTAAATAAATATATGATCGTGTGATCAAAATAGCCATCTAAACTGATTACAGACTGTAAAGTATTTTATATTTTTTCAATTCTAGTTGCTTACAAAGGGAGAGCAGATTCATTTTTAAGTATTCTTATCTGAATGAAATATCAACATATGAGGCTTCCTTATTCCGAAACAGAAAAATGTGAGATTTTAATTTGAAAATTGTTATTAAAATAATTAGATTTCTGAGAGCTACACACACATTACCTTTCAAATTTCAGGTGCATGGTAAATTTAAACATGCCCTGGGACCTGGCTCAGAGTGGGAGAAATTAAAAAGTCATCTATTATTACCAACATACATCTTAGAATAAACAAATGCTTAATACTCCTCTTTGAGCAACAACAATAAATTATGTTTTGGAACTTAGTGATTATGGAGAAAACACTGTTTTCAAGGAAGTTATCTAAAATTATACAATTGTCCAAAAGAATACAGCTCTCAGTCTATAGAGTGAGAAATCTAGAGATCTCAAGATATAGTAACAACTTGGCAGGCAGTAAGAATTGCAGCTAACTAGCTAGTTAGGTGGATCTCATGGTCAGAAAACCTCGGGTGGATTACTTATTCAACACACGTCATCTCTACTTCTCCCGTCAATGTACCGTGCTACTTTTGCTACTGCTTTTATAAGATAGGACTCTATATATGTCCCAGAGAAGTCCTTTCTTAGCAGTGGACTTAATCTATCTAACAGTGGCATTTTCACTATTACTTTTCCTTTAATAGAAAGCAAATATGATTGCTCTCTTTTTCTTCCAACTTTATCGAACTTTCCCCCTTTCTTTTAGTAAAACCAAATTTACATTCAGTGATCCAGGAAGCCTTGTGGTTTGGGCTGCCTCCTGCTTCGGCCATTCTATACTATGTGACACTGGTCTCTGGCTTCTCTGTGCTGACATTCATTCAATCACTAGGAAATGACAACTAAGTACTTCTGAGTGAGGTCATGAGGTCTTATTAAAATGGTAGTAAACCATCTTAGTGAATTAAAAAAAAAAAAACAGCAACAGGGGCCAGCCCAGTGGCACGGTGGTTAAATTCACACATTCTGCTTCAGCAGCCTGGGGTTCATCAGTTCAGATCTTGGGTGCAGACCTATGCACCACTTGTCAAACTATGCTGTGGCAGGCGCCCCACATATAAAGTAGAAGAAGATGGGCACAGCTGTCAGCTCAGGGCCAGTCTTCCTCAGCAAAAAGAGGAGGACTGGCAGCAGATGTTAGGTCAGGGCTAATCTTCCTCAAAAACAAAAAAATAAACCAGCAACAAAATAACACCTTTTAAGTCATTGGACTTTCCTTCACGGATTTGAAAGGGTTCATTTTAATTTCCGAAGCATGGCAGAGACAGAGTTCAGAAAATATTTGTATCCCTCTTGCATGTCAAATGAATAAAATCACCTGTCTCTTATTCTTTCCCCCACCCTTTGTAGCTTAGAACAGCGAAACTTGACCTTGGAAACAGAAATGATGAGCCTCCACGATGAACTGGATCAAGAAAGGAAAAAGTTCACAATGATAGAAATCAAAATGCGAAATGCCGAGCGAGCAAAAGAAGATGCCGAGAAAAGAAATGACATGCTCCAGAAAGAAATGGAGCAGTTTTTTTCCACGTTTGGAGAGCTGACAGTGGAACCCAGGAGAAGCGAGAGAGGAAACACGATATGGATCCAGTGAGCCCGCTTTCTCCCGCTGTCTCCAATGGATCTGGGAAGGACTGGGGGGGTTCCAGTGGGAATATTCTGTGGGATCAGGTGGCTGGTCACCTGGCTGTACAGTGCTCTAACTGGTGAAGGAATCTCATTTACAGACATTAACCATCTATATCCGCAATGTGTACCAAAGTTATATCATGCCCCATAATGCTACTGTCAAGTGTTACAACTGGATATGTGTATATAGAGTAGTTTTTAAAAAGTAAACTAAAAATGAGAAGCATATCTCAAGAATTATTTTATTGCAAGTCTTGTATTTAAAATGTTAAATCAATATGTTGTTGCAATTTAGCTTGCTTTCAAGCTTCACCCCTTGCACTTAACATAAGCTATTTTTGGCATTGTGTTATCATCAGCTTATTTTATAGATCAATATTTTTATTTCCCTTTTTGCTGAGGAAATGAAGATAAGCAGATATATGAATATAAATATATATATAAGATGAGTTATTAAAATCAAAAGAATACTTTGTGGCCGTGCTGTTTGTGCCAATAGACCTTGCCATGACCAAAAAGAGAAATGTAAATAATTTTATAAAATACATTGAATCACCAGGAACCTTTGAACTGCTCTTTAAATTCTTCCCTTGACACTGCTCGTTTTCTTTGTGAGGTGACTGGACATAGGAAGTCTTGGACTGTGTGAAAAAAAAGTCCCCTTCTCAAGCCCCCTTGGCTGCCTTGCCTGTTCCACAGATGTGTGTCTGCTATGCAAGAAGCATGTTAGAGGGGAGAAAATGATAAAGAAAAGCATTTAACCAGTCATGCCTTGAATTACTCTGACCTTCTGGCCCGTCTCTGTAACTGCTGGCTGGTTATGGGAGAAAGTCTCCCTGCCATTTGCAAGTTGGGAAACAATGCTTGCTAACCCATGCCCACACGAGCACCTGTCATTCCCTCAAACCTCTGTCCCCCCTCCCCCGACAATTGCACTCTGGAACGCCAGCCATGAAACAGCATTACTGTGTCCCTCTCAGTTAAACTGCTAGAGTGTGTGCCATAGAGTGACAGTTTTCTCTCACTCAGGCTGCCTGTTCCCTTGTCCTCTGGGATGCTGTCTGCACGACAGCAGGCGAGGGCAGTTTGCAACAAGAGCGAGGGGATGGACGGGCAGGGGACCAGAAGAAGGAGACAAGTTTGGAAGAAACACACTCAACTATCTTGCTTCTAATTTCTACAGTATTTTTCTTCCCTGTTGAAAACATTCGTTCACAATAAATTCTAAAACGTGAATGCTTAAAGGTTCGATTTTGACAAATTTGTGAACACCAGTCATGCAAACTTGCTAGAGGTGCCCAGGGCTCTCTGGAGCTACAGTCTGGGGAGAACAGTTCTTCACACTTCAGTAAGGCAATGATTTTGACAAGCCAGAAAATAAATCTTTCTCACACTAGAACAAAAAGTCACAAAAGGCATAATTGGAAATAAAGACTACTTGAGTTTACAGGCTTTGTGTTGTTTGAGGTTTCCATGTTTGTGTGCATTTATTGATTTTCGATGGGGAGAGTGATCCTTAAAGTCTTCATCCTTGTCACCATCCTGCTGTTGTTTATATCTTTCACTGAGCAAGCGTACGTGCTCCTTTGGTGTCAACCACTATCTACATAGCAACACTTTCTTTGTCTTTAGTTCCTTTTTCTCTCTTTCCTGTTTTTTTTTTTTTTTTTTTTTTTTTTTTTTGCTGAAGAAGATTAGCCCCGAGCTAATGTCTGTGCCAATCTTCCTCTATTTTGTATGTGGGTTGCCACCACAGCATGGCTGACAAGTGGTGTAGGTCTGTGCCTGGGATCCAAACCCATGAATCCAGACTGCCAAAGTGGAGGACAGAGAACTTAATCACTAGACCACAGGGCCAACCTCCTCTGTCCAATTCTTTAAGCAGATACTTCGACCTGGATATCCTACAGGAAATTCAAACTCAAAATGTGCAAAACTGATCTCAGTAGCTCTTTCTGTATACCTTTTCATCTTTTCCCAGCCACTATCTTAGTTAAGGAAAACCTTGGACTCATCCATGGAGCTGTATGATGCAATAGTAAAAAACAAAGGCTATGCAGTCAAACTGCCTAATTCAATTTTCTACAGTTTGCTAGCTGTTACTGAACCTTCTGCACATCAGTTTTTATTGTAGTGTGGGAATAATAAAAACCCTCCCCTCATAGACTTGTTATGTGGTATCGATGTGGTGGCTTGTGTCAAGGTTGCGCACAGCACCAAGTATGCAGGAAGGACTCCATAAATGTTTGTTATTTTTCTCTGCTCTGCCCTCTTCTTCACCTTTAAATTCACTCACCACTTACTGTCTATTCCACCCATCCTCGCCTTCGTAATCTGCTCTCTTTAACCAGTTTTCCTCATCTTCTGATGAAAGCATCTTACCTAGCCACTTTTGTTCCAGTACCTCTTCTCTACTTTCATCTTTGCAGGCTGCTCTTTCAAAGTCACCCATCTGACCATATCATGGCCTTGCTAAGACATTTGATGACGCTCACATACCCACAGGGTAATGCCCTTCACATAGTGCATAGGACTCTGACCCACAGGTTCATTCTCATCTTCTAGCCCTTCCCCCGACACCTGCCATGCCATTTCATGCCTCTGGAACTTTCCATCTTCTATTGTGGTGTCCATCTTGACTGCCTTTCTTCTATATGGCACACTCTAACGATCTCTTTTTGAGAGCCAAATTAATGTCAGCTCCCCTGTGAAGCTTCCTAGGATCTCAATGCAGAGTTAGTTACCTTTGGTGCTTCTAATTTGCATATATCCCTTTTAGGCTTTCCCACATTTGACTATTTGCTTCACCAAATGAGAAGCACTTTGGGAAGCAGCATGGTAGAGTGGAAATTGCAGGAAACAGAGTCAGACACACTAAGATGAGTATCTCAATATGCCTTAGGCAAGATACAGGACAATGACAAGTCACTTAACCTCTCTGAGCCTCAGTTTTTTCATCTATAAAGTGGAGATAATAACTCCTACAAAGACCAGATGTTGTAATACTTAAAGGTGGTACGTAACGTATCTATCCCAATGCGTGCCACTTAGCTCCATTTAGGTCTATTGAGAAATGGCACTTCTTTAGATCCCAGAATTGCATCCTATTGATCTTAAATCCCTCCCCCTTCACCCTTTATGCTGTAGAGTACTAGCATGGAGAGCTAGCAGTCATTTTGGCCTTTAATTTATGAGAGATGCTGTTGTTAATTTTAGTTGTCTATCTTAGTGATGAGACCTCCAGTTGATGGATACCATGAGCAGCTTGTCCATCTGGGTTTCTATTAGTTCTTCTGTTAATTCAACTAAAAGCCTAGAAAATCTCAGCTGCAAATTGACGTAAGAAGAGACTGGAAATAAGTATTTAGGTAGTATCCAGAGTTCATCTGCTACGTCCTATACACGCTTCTTTAAAACTATTTAGGTAACTATAATGATTCTTGAATTATGAGCTCAGGAGAAAGGATTTGCTTCCAACTGTTGAGTCTATAATATTGGTTTTACTGGTCAAACTATATGCCTGGGTATCCTTTAGAGAACATTTGAAATAGAATCGCCTGTGACATCAGGCCAACTAAAGTGTAGATTTTATATATAATTTTATTATGAAACAACTAAAAACTCCAAGTGGAATTTAAATAATGTCATTCCTATTTATTTTTATTTGTTCACGAGCTGAGGCCTCCTTTAGGTGAGACAAGTCACCATTGTGGTCTTTTGCTCTCCAGCCATACTTAGTTTCTTAGGTGCAGGTTAGAAGTAGACAGAAATAGGATTTAGTCAGAGGTGTTTGTTTTCCTTAGATGAGTAGAGTGGTAGAAGATTAAGGGTTTGGAGAACGGGTACAAGACAATAATTATGACGAGGAACCACAGAACTAAGCTGGTCAAGGAAGGAAGCAATGACATAAGGGGATGACAGTTAGTGAAAATCTAGCAGTCAATGGCTTGAAGATACTTTGGGAGTATCCAAGAGTGTCTGGAATGATGGTGCTAAAGCGAGTGACCTACAAAGAGAGGAAGTAATGATCAGACAGTGGATGCTTGAAATGGAAATTTTGGTGATGGTGCAGTTATTGGTAATGACACGATGTGAATCATGGGCACAGGTGTCTCCAACCCCTTCATCTTCTACCACTCTACTCATCTGAGGAAAAAAAACACCTCTGACTAAATCCCATTTCTGCTTACTCCTAACCTGCACCTAAGAAACTAAGTATGACTAGAGAGCAAAAGACCACAATGGTGACTTGTCTCACCTTTATATTTATCTTCATATAAATATGGTTCACGTGGCTCTCGTCACTGTTCAGGAAATTATCTCCACACTTTCCAAGGTCAGTTTCACACTTCTCCTCTCAAATCTCCATGAACTCTTCCCCTTCTCGTTCTCAGCTGATAACCTTGTGTATTTACTGAGAAAAAAATATCAGAAGAGTATGTCCTTATGTCCCATCATCATATCTACCAAACTACCTATGTCTGTTCTGTACACACTGCCTCAGCTCCTGCTACAGTGACCGTGCTGCCTGCTCCAACCAGGCCAGCTGCTCTTCTCATATGCTGGAGTCTATCCTCTGGCCTTTTCAAGCAAATCGCTCCTGTTTTCTGACTTCTATATGTTGGAGCAAGAGATGCCTCTATCTTTGGACTTTTATTCTTAATCTACTCTCAGTCTCTTGGTCTCATACAGTCTCATGGTTTTAAATAACACTTATAAGCTGATTACTCTCAGATTTGTGTTTCAGCCTGACTTCTTACCTTAACTCCAGCCTTATAGATACTCTCGCTAATTCACTTGGGTATTTAATAAACATCTCCAACTGACATTTCCAAACACAAATATCATTTTCTTCCCAAATATGTTCCTAACCCATTATTATTCACCATCTCAGTGAACTGCACCATCCTTTATCTCATGGTTTAGATTCTTAAAAAATCTGAAGTCATCCCTGATCACTTTCCTTCTATCACATATCAATCCATTGGAAAATTTTGTCAATTCTGCCTTCACAATGTATCCTTAATTATATCCCGAATGCACCCGCTTCGCAGTACCTCTGCTTTCCAGTCCAAGCCTCGTCATGACTTTCTGGACTACTGTTATACCCTACAATGGACTCTATTTCCATTTTTGCCTTTCTTCCTCACCTCTGCTCTCCACTCAGCAGCCAGAAGAATCCTTTCTAAAAGAAAATTTAGATTATATCACTTCCCTGCTCAAATTTATCCATCATCCTCCCATATATAGAATGCAGACATGCATCACTTAATGACAGGGATACATTCTAAGAAATGCATCATTAGGTCATTTCACCACTGTGCAAACATCATAGAGTGTACTTACACACACCTAGGCTATATGGCACTAACTTTATGAGACCACTGTTGTACATGTGGTCTGTCGTTGACCAAAATGTCATTATGTGGTGCATGGCTGTAAAATCCCAAGATCTTGCCGTGCTCTGACCCCTCCCCACCCCTCCAATTTCATTTACTTTCACACTTTCTCTTGTCCATTCTGCTTCATCCACAAGACTCTTTTCCATTCCTTATATACGCAAGCAAGCTCTTACTTCAGAGCCTTTGCACTTACTTTTCCCTCAGATACTGACATGGCTCACTCCCTCACTTGATTCGGGTCTCTGCTCAAATATCACGTATTCTGAGAGGCCTGCCCTGACTACTTCATCTAAATAGCACCCCTTCTCATGTCTTATTCTTTTAACCAGATTTGTTTGTCTTAGTGCTCCCCACTACCTTACTCTTCCATCAGAAGGAAGAGGACACGAAGGCAGGAAGGTTGCCTGAATTCATAGCAACTATGTGTGCCTAGCATAGTCCTTGGAAGACCGAAGTGCTCACTTCGGGTTTGTGGCTGAATCAATGAGTGAGTGTTCAGAGCTCAATGTCAAATTTCTGGTTCAGATATTCAGGGATGTTCTGAGTTGGGGTTTTTCACAGAAAATAATAAATGCCTAAATTCTACCTTATTTTAGGGCTCTAATCACCACCCACAGACTGCACAAATTTCAGAGATTGGCTTCACATGAGAATCTCACTGCAGAGAGACGCCAGGACCTGTTGTGATGTCATTTGATGATTTGGAGATTTTGATGCCAGAAATATGAGCCTCGAGCTCAGCATCCAAGTCCAATAACTCTCAGAGGAAACATGTATCAAGTAAACTTTAGGTGATGCAGAAAGGAAACATCCATGCAGTTTTTGGTTGTTGGGTTTTTTTCACCTCTGAAACTTCATCTATTTTTTCCAGGATACAGATATCATAAGCCATTGATAAGGTCTCAATACGTCATCACATTTCTCCCTTGATCTGGAGACTGTCCTTTGTTTAAAACAAACCAAAAGATAGCAATCTACCTTTTAATTAAAAGAACAAGACTGAAGATAAGTATATTTCCTTTCCTCATTGAGTTAACACAGGCCTACTTG